GAAAAGTTTAACGATTCCATAAAATCATCGAGCCCGTCGGCTGCCATAAACGTTACACTCTGAATGCGCCTAACACTCGGGAGTGGATACTTGGCGTATCCGTGCGGCGCACTAATCTCCCCTAGGCGCGACCGCGTTGCGTGCAGTGAACTGCACTTTTTGAAAAAAAAAAAAATTTTCTTTTAAAATCATTATTTTATTTTTTATCTCCTTCCATACTAAATTCGACAAAAATTAGTGATTTTTTTTTAGTTCTTCACAATACGTCAAAAACGCAATTCAGTCGTACCCGAGTTTCATCGAAAATCTGGTAAGCATTCTGTTTCCCTCAAAATGGGAAAACTGTTTGCTCTGAGACGAGAGGCTGAAAGCCCTGTGACTATCCGACGCGTTGACGCGTTTGTCAATAGATTTTGTTCTCATTTAGGTTCCATCTCGCAAGCTATACGTGCGACGTATGACGGGTATTATATACCTATATATACGTGAAAAGATATATTTATTTTTTACGAATACACAAATCTACGTATTCATTGTGAAAAATGTAATATTATATATTTCACTGCTTTATATACCAAGAATATCAAGGGAACATAATGCAAGTCTGAATAGTTTATCACGTACTTTCTCTACTTTTTCCTCTCGTACTACCCATGTCTCTCCTGTGCATCGTGCGCATGTCCCACGGCGCATCGCACGGTACTTACAGCTTCACTCGTACCCTTAAAAAAGTTTTAGCTCTTCCGATAAGCACGGTCGTGCCCAGCCCGCCTCCGTACCTCGAGTACGTAAACGCATTTCACGTGCACGCGAGTTACCGTTGCATCACATTTTCCCTCCTTATGGAGTTAATCCCTGGTAAGATTACACTTCACTTTATGGCCGTAAGCGCGTATATCGTGTAGATGAAAAAAAGTGCATTCACCTCGAACTAAGTAAACTGCACTCAACTGCACTCTGATCGCTTGAAAGCTCAATTTACCAAATAGCCAAAAATTTTCGATAATCAGTCAAACACGTGAATGCTCCCTGGATCGAATTTTTGTTAATCGATGAATTTTAGTAAATTTGAGAAAAAAAAAACAAAATTATTTCACAATCGACCCTCTCGTTCTTTCGCATCTTATCGCGAGCTTTTATATTCGTATCGCGACAGTTGTCAGTGCTGCGAAAATGACGCGTGTTCGTCGTTTTAGGCTGCCCGGCTAACTAGTTGGCGATGGCTACGGCACTGCCTAAGCTTTTTCCCCTACCCTGGGCCAGCTTCGACTTCATCACGCCGGAATCTCGAGCAGCGTCTTATGCTACAACTATTTAAATCCTTTGTACCGATTGGTACACCCAGTATATAGAATCGGCAACGCGCAGAAAGATCGTAGGATCGCTCTCAGGACTTTTGCCTTCTTGCCGAATGCCGAGTTATGCGAATCGGGGTCACGGGGTTATCGATCGGTCAATCGCATGAAAATCATTGCCGAGCAGCGAGACTCGCAACGACTCAGGAATGACGAAGCCATTGTTACCGATCGACTCGACGCGTAAGGTTGACGAGTAACGATTCAAAATGTTTTTCTGTTTTGTTCCATTTTTCTTCCTTTTCGACGAATTAATTGGAACTTTTTTTTTTCTCTTTACGAAAAATCAAACGCGCATGCGCACGCCAAGATTTTTTTCGTGACGTCATCCCACACAATATCCGTTTCCCATTATAGATGCGTGACCATGTATGATGTATGTATGAAAAAAAGAGAGAAGCCCTACCGTGTAGTTGCGTACAACGGGCTCTTTGAATATTCACGATAAATTGTATATAATGGCTGACGTCAAAGTTTTTCATTTTTATACGAAACCATCGGCTATGTATATTTACGGGGTTTTAAACAGCGGGCTTCTCCATTTACCAACTACGACGCCGTTGCCGTCATTTTTACTTGCCGATCCGAGACCTCATTTCTTTGGTTACCAGCATTTTTTTTTTTTTTTTTTTTTTTTTTTTATTACCGAAGATATTTATATTTACTGTCCTTTGAGCCTGGGATTACGTCATCCATTTGGACCATATGGATCTCACTAGTGCGTACGATATCGGTATACGGTAATGGTCTACTTTGCCATTTGGCCTGTCTTGCTTGTAGGTACCTATATATATATATAAATACATATATATATAATAGGCCATTAAAATCTATATATATATATAGCCATTAAAAGAAAACTTACTAGATTGTCTTGTACAATGGATTTATGTATTGTAACGGTAATGGTCAGACATTGCTTGGAACTGGACCTATGTCGGATATATTCTTACATTGTACCTGGTTACAGACTATCTCGATCTAACATGTAGCCAGATTCTTCCTAACGGTTACATATATGCGTGTCTTGCTGATCCTTTTGTATAAGATGGTGAAAAATTTTTTTGTTTCAAAATTCAAAAAATCGATTAAATCTTACAATCGAAATAATGCCGAATTAATATTGATTGTATTACAAAAATCGATTATGCTTATCTCATTAGGCATCTATGTGGCAAGTCCTATGGGAAAGCATCAACGATCAATCATTTTAGCATGCATGTTATCCCTCTATTATTACTGACTAACATTTACTATGGATATCGATACTTGGACTCGTACACGACTCTAGTCCTTATTAACCCATAATCATTCATCGCTACTTGAAAAACTAATAAAACCACGAGTACCTATATGTGGTTACGTAGTTGTAGACTGTAGTACTCTTTGATATATCATGGACATGGTATCTGATATCTGGTTTGATACTGTATTGTTTCTTTGTTGTATATATAACAAGTCTCGGATGCAATTCATGCATGTTTTATTATTACGGTATTATACAGAGACAGTCGGTACCTTTTGCGCGCGATTTTATACGTCGCGAAATTTTTTCCGCGTCTGGTCAACCCACGTGACCGGCTTGTTGCGTATTTCACGTGCGTTTTTTATATAGCTTTTTCGAAAATAAGCAAAAGAAATACGTCGAAATTCTTTATCGGATGTACGTAATGGGACTTGAAAAAATTAAAGATAATCTTTAGCTTTGTTATTTTATTATTTTTATATTATTCCCACTGTCGTATGGTATCACCATATTCCCACCCACTCACGATGTTACTCCCACATACCTTCACGTGGAGTCTCGTGTCCAGCTATTTCGGTTCGTAATGCTCGACTTGTATTGTCAGTCTTTTTTTTTTTAAATTGCCACGTGACCAGAACTAACTTATCGACGTGACGTAAAATTTTCATGAAAATTGCCAAAAGGATGCTGGATGCTCGATGCGAAGGTACCTTGAGATTTCATGAAATGTTCTAGAATTTTCTAGGATCTGTCGGGTTTTTCCGGTGGGAATTTTTTTTTGTTGGACATTCTGGTATCGCTCCGATAACACGACTGCCAGGAGACCGTAAAGGGTTCGCTTATGAATTATGCAGTTTTTTCGACTTCGGCTTTCGGATCGAACATCTGTAGTATCTTCTTGCACGGGATAGATTTTTCCAGTGTGAGAAGCACGTTTGAAAATTTGGTAATTTTTGAAAAAATTTTTTTTGAGAATTTTTTTATTCGTTTTAACGGTCAAAAATGAAAGTATACAAAGCCTGGAAATGTCTCTACGCGAATGAAGATGAATGGACCCAGTCGTTTTGCAAAAAATTTGCGAGTAGCAGTGCAATGTACATTTATTCAATGCGAATAGTCAGTGACGTGTGGAAAGCACTATATGTATATATATACAGTGTACAGAAATAAGTACCTCTTTACCCGGAGGTACGTAATTAATACGAAGCTATAAGTTTCCCGTCCGATTATACCGTCGCGCCTTATTAATGGGCAGTTTCGTTGCAGAATGCAGGACAGTTAAATGCAGCATCCCCAGCCGGTAGAAAGATGCTAAGACGCGCTCGTCTTGTGCCTTTTTGCAATTTCAAGATTTGCACAGACGCTATTAAGCTGGCAAAAAAAAATAATTAAATTTTCCCTGTTTGTAACCATACCTTTTTTTTTTTTTTTTTTCGTCTAGAACCAACATTTTCAATCCTTCGAACGGAAATAGGCTCACCAGGGGACAAAGCTTAGTTTCACGCTACTCAAATAAATATATCCGAAAGTTCACAACTACCGTAGCGCCATCGCCGCTTACGTGCTTTCTTCCGTAAACATACGTCACTTACGTGGCCAGCATTCACGGGATATCTTTCGCCCTGGCATTGTGGCATGTCGCGCGCACAGCGAATCTCTGTATTTAGAAGCTAATGGAAATCGTTATTGTCCGACTGTCGCTGGACACAGTTAATTTTGGGAATGACGAAATGTACAATCGACCAAATAAATATTGTCTTACCGTTTTGATAGTCGTCGAATAAGGTTGATTTGGATTAACGCATAGAAGCACTGTCACGATATTTCGTATCGATGAGAATAATAGTCAACGATAGAAAATAAAAATCATCATTCTCGTCACTATCGTGCTTGGAGCATTATGGGTATTTTTTTTTTTCACGGACGTCGTTAATTTTTTTTTTTCACCAGAATAAATTGTCACTGCGCGTTTTTCGAAGATGGACGTCAGTCAGGTTCATCGACGGGGCATTACAGAGAACGAGTAATGGCCGACGCGGAGAGTCGAGAAAAAAAATTGGATAATGGGGGAGAAAAAAAAAATAAATCGAAAACGCGACGACTTGACGGACTGACGGACGCGCGACATAGAGAAACAGAGTGCGCATCGGCGACTGGACAAGACGGCGAGACGGGCAAGTTTCAAAAATAGTTTGAAGCTTTCGGCGCACGCCTCCGTCGGACTTTCTATTTGTAGTTGAGCACGGCAGGTTTGCCAAACCGATGGGACCAAATTTCCCCCAATTTGTTAAGCAGTCAGTGGGACGCGCGTGAAAGTGGAGGCCGATGGGAATTTTGAAAAATGATATGAAAAATGTGAAAAAAATTTTTTTTCCAAAAATTCATTTTCACTACTTTACCTTGTTCCACTTCTGCATTGATGTTTATGGTCCTCAGCCTAAGTTCCTCGTTCTCATAAATCATACCACGTGACGATTTTCTATCCAGTCTTCTGTTGGGTTTGATACTGACGTCCCGCCTTCTGGTTCTCAGCATCCCAGCACCCCCCACACTTACGCTCGTACCGGCCATCATTTTGAAATTGAAATTTTTTCCAAAAAAAAAATATGAAAAATCCTTTTAAGATCCTCGCCGAGTGGATCCAGTCGAATTTACTGTAGAAGGCTCAAAATAGATTTTTTATTTGATCCGTCTCTTCTTCGCTTCCGGGTGACGTCATCTTAATGTCGTAATGCATAGTACTCTCATAGCGAATTTCGGTTCGATACGATTTACCGTCCGACGTTCCCACGTCGATGACGCCGGCAGAGCCGCTCGAAGATCCTTTCGCAAGGAAATTTGCATTCAGGTTTCATTTTTCACGTGATACTCCTTGCACGCAATTTGCGTCCCCATTACTCAGCGTTTATCAGGACACTGGAGGAGTCGCCTTCTCTGACTGTGCTTCTCTCTTTTTCTTTTTATTTTTCTTCGCTACCGTTTCGCCAGACCCTTTTTTTTTCTTCGCCTTCTTTATTTTTTTTAATTCTCTTCCTCCCCCACCCGGTCACCGCTCTATCTCGCTACCTTCTTACTTCTCCGCTTGTCGCACCTTCGCGGCTCCTTAACGCGGACTCTCTCAATTTTCTTAATTTATTCCCTCGCTACTGCCGGCCGTCGACTTATTTACAGCTATTTATTTCAAAAGTCCCTGATTGTAAAGCACTGCTCCACTGCTGCGAGTGACTCCTTAACGACTTCACGGCTCTTCATCCTTTCGACGCTGTCGCTCTCGTGACGTTGCTTATCCGGGCTGTTTACCGATGTGAAAATACGTCTATTTGCTTTTCAAGAGCGACGATTTAAATGGCGCCCGACGTCTGGATTCTCGTTGACGACGTACAAAGAATCGGGATGACCTCTGGATCGGGTACCTTGGGGTTACAGTGATTAAATTTCCACTTGATATTCATTCCTATGGATCGAGTTTCATAATTTCATATCACCACATTGTTTTTTATCAATAACACTCTACGTTAACTGTGCCGATACTATAGAGGATTTTCAAAAAATACACTGACGTCGGTTTGTCACTTTTTTTTTTTTTGAAAAAAAAAAATTTCACTACACTTTCACGCATTCAAGAAGCCCGTCCGTCTGTACTTTCGGTGATCAGCAACGATCTGGAAAAAAAAATGAAATCCTCGAGTTTAAATATAACGTAAGTAAAGCGTAGAAAAACAATCGAGAAAGAAGGATAAGAATAAGGTTTATGGACTCGACGTGAAAACCGGGTTAAAGATGTCGTAAGAAGCTGCAGCCTCTATATGCATGTATTCGGTTTCTCAAGAGTGTTGCCTGTGTACGTTTTAAAATACAAAAACCCTCCCCTCTCGTTGTATTCGGTGAAATGCTGTTATTCACGATAATCAAATGGCCTCTGCCGGAACTCGACAATTGGACGTCTAAAAGACCTGCATATTACGTATGGGTAACGTAGCAGTCTCGAGGTTGGAATATAAAACTATATCGAAGGCGATGAATAAGAGTAAATCGTAGATTAAAGGAAGGGTGGATTGGAAATGTATACGTTTGGTTAGTGAAGGGTGCACGTTGGCTGTAGCTGTAGAAAGCCGTGAACATCAAAGGTGCGGCTGCAACCAAAGGTACTATAGGTACCATTGGCAGAGCAGCGCCGAACTGACATCCGTACCAGTCACTTGGACGACGAAGAACAGAGCGTGCGAGAGAGACGAGAAAGAAGCTCGGAGCAGGAGGAAAGACAGGTACAGTCAATGCGTATAGTAAACATTCTGCATTACAGCTACGTTACCCATTATCGTCGTATCGAGTCTCTGTAAGAGCTTTGATAACGAGTATATCTATATACTGTGCTTAATTAACGAGCTGGCCTGTACACGTGGTATAGTTATACCATGAGCATATATATAGGATCAATATTAACCAGCCAGAAAAGCTTTGACGCCTGCATAAGGAAACTTTGAAAGCTACAATACCAACTCGCAAGCTCCTCCCACTCGTCAACTACTAAGTTGCGGGAAGTTCCTGAGGATGGCGCGAGAAACCGAAAAGACGGTAAGACGTAATGACGAAAGAGCACGCCAGCTGGCGAGAGAAATCTTTTTCGAATCCGGTAAACAAACCGTCCGCGTGGTCCGAGAGTCGGGCGCTGTCAAGTTCGAAGACGCCGCGCTCGATCATTTTATTTATCCTTCGTTCGAAATCATTGACATCCGACGTCCGAGGGTCGAACGAAGTGATACGAGGGGAACAAATTTTTTTTTTGGAAATGAAAATCGCTGAAAATTTTTTTTAATTTTTCGGACAAAAATCGAAATTCCTTACTTCTTAGGTATTTATTTACTTCGCGCTTGTCTCTCCACGTGGATTCTTTATGGCGAACGGACAAACATGCAGATTTCATATTGTTCTCTGTATGGCTTCTGTGTAAACGTCATAACTTTCTGTGGTCGTTGCTCAAATTTTTCTGTACACAAGCGGCGCACGTAGCCTCCACGTAGAAATAACGTTTGTTCTGGATTCGCGTGGAACAAAGGAAGAACTGCGAAATCTTTTGCGAATCGTTGCGGAACACGTCCCTGGCTGACTGTTTATTTTTCTGTGAAGGTGCAAGGCCGCGGATATACATATATATATACGGATAGCCTGTATCATTGGATCACGTTGCGATATTCCTGGCAGATGAGGTGACCTGACGAAATGCCCTGGTTTTATCGGGATCATTTATTTATTTGACTTGCTACCACGCGAAGATAATCAGACCGGCACAGAATTCGCTTGATATTGTACGTGGAAATGAAGTTCGTATCGTATAAACGATTCCCTAGAAGAAAACTGTACTGACGTTTCATTAGTATCTTGACAGCTTATTCGATTCCCTTATAGTTTAGTATCGGGTTTTGACTGGGACAAAAAATAAACGCGAATCTTAGAGATGATAATAAGACTCGAATGAAAAATGTTGATTATCAATGTTGAGGATACATTTTTTTTTTTAATATAATTTTACACGCCACAGCATCCAATATGGAGACCGGGTAAATTTGTATTGTCTCTGGATAAAGACGGGGATGGATCGGCGATAGGAGGAGCGAAGAGGATGGCGGGCAGTGATAGAGGCACAGGAGAGTAAGAAACAGGAGCAAGAAGCATCTGAATAAAGTGGAGCTTACGAACTCTCAGACTCGCTAAGTACTAAATAATTGGCCGCGTAAAAACTGAAAACTGTTTCAATATTCGCGCGGGTTGCTCGAGGCTGTTGAGAAGTTTTGCGAAACTTGTTGCTGGTAGTGGATCGTACGTGCGAGATCATATTGAGATGCAATATTCGCACGTGTGTATAACCAGATCGAATGGAGTATACATATCTATATACTGGTATACAGGTAGGTGGTGGTTGGGTAGTCAGGTTTCTTTGTGCGAAAGTTCGGACAAGTTTTTTGCAAGTTGAAAAAAAAAGAAATTTAACTCGTCCTGTTACGCTTTGGATTTGCGAAATATTTCACGGGGCAAAAAATGGGATTTTGGGGAAAAAGTTTTTGAGGACATGCATCCGTTGTACGGACTTTGTTAAATCGGTCGGTACAGTAGTTGGTATCTGTCGGAGGATTAATTGTCGCGAATATCAAGGTAGAATTTGGCGAATCGAATCTTCGTGGGTTGAAATCGTTGCCAATCTACGACGTATCGATAACGTCGTATTGTTGGTAGCCGTGGTTATATTTAACTTTGATAAATTTTTCGCACGGTTAATACCGGCAGTTAGTCTTACCTGTCCAGGAAAATGAGAATATACTTACTACGTGATTTTGGATGTTTTCATAGAAAAAAAAAAAAGAAAAGAATTTGCCACGGGTCTGTCCGAAGAAGCATCGGTGGCTTCGCTGCCGAATTTTCAGCACCGCGGCGAATCGTTTGTCACGCGCTGCCTCGTAAATCTTTGTTTTAACGAGATGAGATTGCGCGGTGGTCGCTTCTTGGTGGAAAACGATGAAAATATCGGTAAACGCCCGGGGCTGTTAAAGCGCGTCAACCCGAGATTTTGACTTCTTAGGAAAAATGATAAATGTATGTATTTACAAGTTTTTTTTTTTATATTTCCGCCAATTTCGTTGTATAACAAGTGCTTGATATTTTTACAAGGTAAATCAAGAGGCGCAGATAAAAATCTGTCGGAAGTCTTCAGTGGGATCTGTGAATTTAGCCGTGGTAAGATACGGTGTAAAATCATTGTAAAATCCCCCAGATTTATTTTTGCCTAACACACGCGCCGTATCCCTCGAACAATATCACGTACGTGCATTGGCTACCGCGAGTGGAAAATTGTCGGTTTTAAACGCGGCCTGTGGAAACTTTAACGATTTCCGGTCGGTACTTAAGTTGCGCATGCGCGATAGATCGCGAGGTCGACGTAAAGCAGATGGCCGACGGTGCAGCAGAAACTTTGCCGATGGCGCATTAAACCGATTGTTTTCCAACAAGCGTCTATATACATATCGGATTGTATATTTTGTGAGCTTTTTAAGTGATGCAAATTTTGTTGTATCTTTGATTTTAACAAACTTGCAGTGGCGTCACCACGTATTTCTCCTAGGGACGGTTGAACGCGTTCGAAAGCTCTTGCCTATGGGTAACTTGACCGTGAGAGCTTTTATTCGAGAAAACGTTGCCGGGCTACTGTTCTTCAACGGGAACTCATCATCCTTTCAGATCGTAGGATAAACATTATCCCGGCCACCGTTCCGTTGCAGCTTCCCCATTGGTACAGGGAAGGACTTAGAGGGGTGTTCAAGGTATACAGAGCTTTTATAATTTCACGTACAATTGCCGTAATTGTACTCCGAAAGGAAGTGGGTAACGTCTTGGGCATTATTTCCCCAAAGTCTAAAGCTCGACCAAGTATTAGTATATGCAATATATATGTATATATATGTTGTGCGGACCCTGGGGTTAAGCGGCCGTTGAAACTTTGGAAAGTGCGAAAGTAAACTTACCGCGTAAACTTACTACAGGCTCCACCCCCTGTACCCTGTATTCTAGCGGAAAGCTCTTGGCCCGCGACGTCGACGTCCCGACGACTTTTGCAGACTGTTGAGAAGCATTGTACTCTGGGCGAAATCTAGTGTATATATACGCTGACGAACAAATATCCGGAATCATCCTGAGCTTTTTGGTTATAATTCCGAACGAAATCCCTTGTCAAAAGTCCTCGCGGAACCAACAGACTTTTCCTAATTGGATTCGATCGAAAGCGTCTGTCTAATTGCGATGCTGCTACCGCATCTGCTCTACCTTCGGCCAAAGCTCCTCTTCTCGCGCTGCGATCTCGCGGTATCCCGATCTTAGAAGTGGGACCGAACTTTCGAGTTTGCAGAAGCGAATCTTAAGTGGTCCACCCTCCAATTTAAACTTGAATTCCCGATAGCGATCGTCGGGGCCTTAAGCGTGGGTTAAACTCAGGATTCACTGCTTCTCTGGGGTAATTCTCAATAAGTGTCTGGAAATCTTCCTTCGTGAAATCGTCAAGTCTAGTTTATATATATATATATATATTTAGTATAGAGGCGTTGGACAAGATTAATCATTACTTTAATAATTCAAAATATTTATAATAAATCGTCGAATGCATTTTTTGGGAACTGAAAATTTTTTTAGGAAAATTTTGAAAAAAATTTCATTCAGTTGGATAACTTTTCTGTGTTTTTTTTTTTCTCGATTCTATATCCCGGGTGGTACAGTTCTGTGTAAAGTAGGTATACATTTTTAAAACCACCATGTTTCTCTTTCACAAACGATAAAAAGATTTTCTGTGGTCTTGTAAATAGGACTAGTTCATTTTTTTTTATTCTTCTGAATCTCGAATAAAACAGATTGGACACAGGTTGATAACGTCGCGATATTATATACGTGGTCTGATAGTTCTCGTTGACAAGAATGTAGGATTTAAACTAAATTCTTTTGACCAAAATAACCTGGCCACGCCTGAATGCCTGACAGGGCAGCGTAAACACTGCGTAGTCATCTAGTTGGCTTAATACTAGCCAGACAGTCTTGAGACTATTTTACATTGAAACTCGTCAAGTTTTCCCGGGTAATTCGGTGATCTGCTTGAAAATTTTACTCGACCAAAGCACTGCCGTCCTATAGTCAAACCATGATAACAATCACTTCAGTATGTCGACTAGGTAGGGCTTTACATTTATATTGAACCAGAACACGAATTGCGAATTTTCATGGGGAAATTCTCATTAGGAAAGCTCAACGTAGGAATTTGTAATTGTAAATATAAATAATCTGGACTGCAGTCGTAATAAGTAACCCGGCTAGCGGAACTTCAATTTCTGATAATAAAATCTATTTGTATTAGCCAATGTAATTTTGCATCTCGTTATGCGAAATATGGTTGCGAATTATTTATAGTGATTTTTGCATTTCTATTTATCGTTGTAATTGTTAGGTGTATCAATGGACCAATTTTATCGTGGGCTTGAATTCCTTTAATTTATCATACCAATTTCTTGGCAAATGAATATAACGGTACAGCTAAGTCTTGTTTGTTGACACGTTTGCCTGACAAGTACCATTCCTTACGCTTTGAATAAACTTCTTGACAATGGAAACATGCCTGTTGTTTCGAAATGTCCAATTTCGCGGATACTAAAATATCGAAGAGTTATGTGGATCAAGTTTAGGCTGAAATCGTAATCAGTAGAATCGGTAATTCCATTGACTGTTGATATATTTATATCGGATCTATAGGCTATAAGTAAGAAGAAAAATATATCACTTGGATCGATTAAAAAATAATCATTTCTCATTCGCATGGGATAAGTCTAACTGTAATTCATACGTTTCTACTATCGTTAACCTCATTCGCAAATCTGTGCGAATTTCGCATTTCCATGAAAAATCTCTCGCGCACGTCAAACGATCGCGCGGTAAAAGAAGAAGCGTTAGATCATTCTCGTCGATCGATGATCTAATGTAAATCACAAGGGAATCACATAGGAAACACAGTATGTGTTATACTTGCACAGGTTATACTTGAGTATAAAAGATTTGTTCGCGAAATTTATTAACCTGTTTTGAGTAGCATCTTCCATTTTGAATTTTCCCCTTTTTTTTAGCAGTCATGAAGAAATCATGACAAATTTTTGAAAATTATTTACACGTATTTTCAAAGACCGTGATTAGGTCATCGAGTAAATTTTTTTTTTTGAAAATTCAACTTTCTCCCAATTTTCGCATACGACGCGTAGCGTGAAAAATTTTTTTTTTCAAAAATTCTTTTACGGATCTCCAACGGATCCTCCAAGTTCACTCTGTACTAATTCTTCCGCGACGCGGTATCATTGATTAATGATCCCGAAGCGGATGGCCACTTCGTCATTGTCACGCATACACGGCACTGCTGGAACGAGGCACTGTACACTACGCGATAATTTACGATGAAGTAAGTCAAGTTAATACGGAACTGGAAGCCCTACTAGATACTTTAAGGCTTTCGCAGTGTAAGCGACAGGAAAGCTCGTGGCATCGCGAGGGCGACTGTGGCCCCATTTTTCACCACTCGATATAACCCAACCAGAGCATATAAGCTAATTAATAAGCGTCTAATTACTATGGGAAAAGTTAACTGTCCCGGGCGAACCGGAAGATTAATCTTGTCGCATTAATGAGAACGAGTGTAATGTTAGCATTAGTATTACAAATTCAACACCCTTATAATTAAACTTTGTCCACGGCTTATAAAAAATAAGCACTGTTTCGTACGTTAAGTAAAAAATTGCCACTACAGTCAGAATTGTCAATGAGAATTGTCACGTGTCTAACAATTTAATGAATGAATGACGTTACGCGTAGTGTAGTAACTGTATCATGTGCTCTTAAATATTTTCATACTTGTTTTTTTTCTTCGACCTCACTCCCATCTCACACTGCTCGGATTGAATGGCCGACTTGAAGTCATTTCGCGTTATTATGACCAGTGCTCGAGTGGAGTTCTTGAGAAAGTATAGCTGCAGCAGCACGTTTAGCTATAAGAAAATCATGAATGGCGCTGAGCTCGCAGGTGCTCAATTCGCTGTACCCTGATTCAAAATTTTTATATTTTTCACTTTTTTTATTTTTTCATTTTTCCTTTTTTTTTTTTTTTAATATCGCACTCATACTTTCTTCGACGTTCGTACCTTTGCCAAGAGCTTTCCACGCGGTGGTAAAATTTTTTTATTTTTTTCTTTTTTTTTTTTTTCATTTTTTCTTTTTTTTTTTTTTTAATATCGCACTCATACTTTCTTCGACGTTCGTACCTTTGCCAAGAGCTTTCCACGCGGTGGTAACTACACGTTCCGAGTTCGTCGGTGAATACAAGTTACGCACAGTCCTACCGACACCGTTTTATTTTTTTCCACCAAAAAATGCACTAAAAGCTCAACTTTTTCATTTCGTACCAACCAACAGCACACCGTCAAGACTCTCCTCTTGTATCACCTTTTTAAAAAATTGCACATATCCCCACTTGGCTCCAATCCTTCCTTACACGTATGGTCTTCTCTCTCGTTCCTTTTTGACTCTTTTATCACCCCCCAAGTCACTCGGGCCTGTTTTCCTTTTTTATCTCGTCCGCTTTTACGCGCACGCTTTTCTCGTCTTTTTAATTCCTTTCCGTTCACATTTGTCCGCGACAACGTCGTCCCTCCCATACGAGAGCTTTCAGCGCGGAAGACGTACGATGCGCGCGCAGACACCACACTCGACTCGCGCAAGTTCATCTATTTATTTACTTTCTTTAGGCGTCTAATTAGCCAAATTTTTGCAGTCTACGTTAATGCCGGTTTTACAACTGGAACTTCAATTTGGCGGCACCACGGTTAGAGCTGGCGGGCATAACTGCGTTCGAGAGACCACTCACTCCTCTCAGTTTCTCTCTGCCTCTCTTCTCCTCTCCTTACCGACCCTCTCTCTCTCTCTCTCTCTCTCTCTCTCTCTCTCACTCTCTCGCGTAGACACACAAACACACAGACTATCACAGAACGCATATACCATCGCAACACACACTCCCCATTACTCTCCCTCTCACTCGCACCCTAGTTTTACCTCCATCTGCCTTTTCTCTTCCTCTCTTCTTCTCTCTCTCTCTCTCTCTCTCTCTCTTATTCATGCTCGGCTTCCCGTACGGCCGCTCGCTCTCGCGGACTAAAGACGCTATCTTACCGATCTAAAATTACCCAAGAAACGCTGAACGCTGCTTCTCTTGCAAGCACACGCGCCTTCGTGCCCTACGTGCCTTAGGGTGATCGACACGGCCCTTTAAGGATTAAACTTTATCGTACCTTGATTAAGCACCCAGAGAAAGGGCGTCTCGAGGAAGCATTAATGAGATTGGTATATATCGATATATCGATTAATCGATTTTATTATAATATTAATAATATCGCTAAGCTCTGTCTGAGCTTTCTGTTCTGGTATATGTCATTATTTAATGGACACCCGGTACGCACGATGCTGTTTCGACGTCGCGTAACTTCGGGTTGTTTCTCGGATTCTGGCTGCTGCCGTGGTAAATTGGATTAGTGCGGCTGCCGAATTCTTCCTTGGACTGAAATTCCCTTAGAGAGTCTTCATTAACGAAGTCGCGACTTCTGCCCTTAATACTAATTCACAGGTCGTAAGACTTGCTAGACTGGTTTAGGGGGTGGCAGGCCGAATTATTCGCACAATTTTACTAATTTATCGGCCTATTTCGATTCACGTGTTTATCAGTGACACATCGCTATTTCCACGGCACTCGATGATTCAAATTCGCTAATTTTTATTATACACGGCGAGACAGCCCACTCGTAGTGACACCCTGCGAATTTCCCCGAATGCGTACCGTGTGGCAATTGTTAAGTCAGAGAAAAATGACCACCCTGGCAATGTATTTGTGCGACTTTAGTCAGTATTGTTTTTTTGGAAAAAAAAGTTTGCCAAGCGCCATCGTAATTTGGAAATAAAATCTGTGAGGTTTTTTTTTTTTTTTTTTTTTTTTTTTTTTTTTTTTTTTTTTTTTTTTTTTTTTTTTTTTTTTTTTTTTTTTTTTTTCATCCGTTTTTACGTATTCGAAATATAATTCAAGAGTCGAATTTCCACTGGGTGTATAAGGGGGTCTGCTCGAGGGTCGCATACTAGAAACACACCCGGTGGTCCGCTAGTCACGCGTACTATTTCCGTCGGAAGCTTCTTCTTCTCAACGAGCCTGTTGCGAAAAAGCTACCAGTCCAAGTCGGCTAATTCTGGACTAAATCCTTCTAGTTTCGGATGCACCTGTCCTCTTCCTCATACCGGGAGCTTTAAAGCTCTCCTCCTCGTACCTCTTGTGCAATCCCGGTATACCGTCGGTTTGTATCTTTAACTTGAGGACCAGTCACGAAACGGAGCCAGAAGACCCGCAGAGTTAGGAGTATTTCCGAATGCGTAATGGCCTACATTTTAACCCTTTTAGCCCCACTGTGTCCCTCGGATTCCCGTTACTTCTCCAGATACTGGCGAGTGTCTCGCGTTACCAGCGAACCAGTCGAACGGGACAGGATAAAGTAGGGAAAGCTAATACTGTCTAACGGGTGCTATTTTATTATGGCAAGAACAAAATCCTGAGCTTCACAATATACGTATGTGGATTTCATTGATGTCTTGTGGTTATTAAGGCAGAGGTAGGTAGGGTCGTATGATTGTGCAGTGATAAAAAAATTTTAATTAATTATACCAAATAGTCAGTCGATGATCGATACTATTGATTTATTGTTTAATTAAAATCAATCGCCTCTCTAGTAGTGCGATCCACTTCTAAGATAGCAGATAAACGATAAAGACGTGCCAATGGAATTTTTTAGTCCGGACACTTGGTTTACGGATTGGCCACTTAAACGCGTCTATTTCAGCCATAGCCGTGTCTTTATGGTTCAGCGTTTGTCAAAACAAGCCGAACAAATTGACTCGGGAAGTCGTTGGCTCGTTCAGTGTATCGCGTAACGCAGCCAAGAGAAAATCATTCGGGATTCTCTATGGCTCGTCCTATCCTCGGGGAATAATAATTGGACGACATAAATCTTACGATTTGAATCTTAGAAAATCGACGTATAGTTATCGTAAACAACACGGAATATGCTGCCACGTTGATAAACGTCACGTTACGAATACGTTGACGGGACAAACTTTGCCACTGGCTACAGACTACAGCGTAACGTAGCCAACTATCTGTGTCTATAGATTTTACTAACGCCCATTGACTGTACAAATGAAAGTTTTTGTTGGGTAATTTTTTTTTTACAAATTTTCTCAAGTCCGCGAACAATACCTGTACGATTATTTTTTAATTGTCCGGCTGATCCCGGGATTACAAAAATTCATTTCCTTGATGAGTTTCGCGAAAGGGTGAAGCCAGGCTTAATAATAAGTTTTCTCGTTTAGCCAGTGTCAATTATACGTGTAACAGAAATGCCAATTTATATACTGGCTGTGTCTACATACTGATATTCCTGAACATAGGTATGTGACGTATTTCAATGCCCATCTATTCGAATGCATGGTCGATGGAATTTTTTTGCACGCGCAGGGGTGTCCAAATAGAAAGCGTGTCCCAGGACCCTCGCCCTTCCCATTGTATTCGAATCCTATTCAGTTCTCCGGGGCCCTGCGGACCCGGGGCTTTAATTAACCCGTTTGTTTGTCCGCTGCAGGTTGGTATTCCTGAATCGCGCTACCTCGTCGCGTCCCCGAAAATTGTATTTTTCCTTCCCACCCACCCTCCTACGTCGCCCGCTCTATGTACCGCTGGTAATGTTTTTTTTTTCTTCCTACGTCAATACGGACCTTTTTCGCTCAACATTTTTCTCTTTCTTTCAACTGTTTCTGCCGTTTTCCGAGCGGGGCGCCACTGTAGCTTCCATAATGCACGCGACGGATTCAGCCTGGGCCCGCGTTCAAAAACTCGTTAGGGGCTTTCTGAAAATTACATAGGAAGATACACTGTACACTATATACATATATATACTTATCTCTGTGCGGAATTACCTTCAAGTGCTGACCGCACTAGCGCATTGCTTCTCGGCCTCGTGTTTTGTCGCGTGCCGGTGCGTTCGTTAAGTTAATTAAATTTTACGACAACCTCGGGCAGTATGAGTTTCAACCTTTATTTTTAGAATTTTCTATTTTTCATTTGACTATATATTTCAGCGGTGGGTGATATAGATAGAGGAGGGGGCGGACGGTCAGTGGAG